ACAGGCCCTGCACCCTGTGGGTCAGGAGTGTCATATACAGGAGGCATGAAGTGGCTGACACATTTTGTTGTAGATGGAAGACCAGGCTGGAAGGACAGACAGAGACATCCATGGGGACATAAGAAGCTCAAAGTGGCAAGGGGAAGTCTCAGCTTTCAGTTGAATAGAACCATTGTGGTGTCTATAGGTGAAAGCATTTCTCCTTTATAACTAAGGCCTCTCGGGCAGCAGAGTGTAGGGTCATGGGGACAGGGAGTCAAGGTCTTGCAGCAAGTCACCAGGAATATCAGACAATCGGGATGTTCCCAATTCCACCTGTTGATTCCTGGACCCATGAATACTAGCTAGCTGTGGGACAAAGAGCACCATATGTTGGACACAGAGTAAGTACAAATACCACATTCTGGAAAGTGTTGCTCCAGCCTCACAAGGTGTTGCCACATGGCTGGCACAGTGGGTCTTCAAGAGGCCACTAATACATTCATTCAAGCCAGCTATTTCAGAATGTTGGGGGAAATGGTTGAACCAGTGAATTTCATGGACATGGGTACATTGCATCCCTTCATAAGATCAAAAATGAGTGCTTTGGACAGAAGCCTCTCTGAAATGCCAGAACACTGGGTGAGCATTCAGTAAGAGTAATTTGGGAAGAAGCATTACAGTCAAAGAAAACTTGTCCCTACCTAGAGTACAAATCTATTCCAATAAGAAGAAAGCTATCTCTTACATGATGGCATAGGCCTAATGTAAATAATCTGTCAGCAGGTTCTAGGTTGATATCCAAGGAAATGGTCTCATAGTGGGAACTTAGGTTTGGTCTGTGCTGCTTGCATAGTGTTATTCAGAAGTGGCCATAGCCAGGTCAGCTTTAGTGATTGGAAATCCATAGTGATTATCTGATGAACAACCATCCAACTTCCAACATCGGCACTTTGCTGTGGAGCCCACTGAACAAATTCAGGAGTACATAGAGAAGAAGGCTGACCATTGTCACCAGACATGTCACATTATCCATTTGATTATTCACATTGTTTCCTTTATGGACACATTATGGTAGGCATTTTCATGAAACACAGAAGACATCTACCTCTGTTTATTGTGTGGGTTCTACTCACGTATTTCTTCCTCGAACATCTTTCACCAGTTTTCTTATTGTGTCCCTTCCAAGTTTCTGACCATCCAGCCAAACACTGAGTCAGATCCTGTAGGTTAGTATAAAAGCCACCTATGTCCAGGAAAAATTAAACAACTACTCCTCAAATGCTACCTATTGGAGAATTTTCTTCCATTCATATTGTGCAGGGAAGTCCCACATTAGGATTGCAGTACTAATAGTGTTAACTCTCAGAGTTGGCTGTATGTCATACAGGAACTGCTATAAACCAGCCCTCTGTTTTTTTTCTCTGTATTGTCTGGTCATAGGATTGTCCCCATTGGGCCACAGGTGTATGAGACAGAGAAAAGAATGCATCTGGGGTTGGGGTTATGGGCAATTGGTCTCTTCCTCATGAAACTCACTTGTGCTTTCAGGACCTGGTGAGACCTAATCTCACATTTACCTCTTCTGTTGATGAAAGAGAGCTGCTGTGAATACCCAAATCCATGCGTGGTTGGTCAGATACCACCCAGTTCATGCAGGCAGCTCAGGTCACATGCTAATATAGTGGCATATAAAAGGCATACAGTCTGCTCAGTTCAGCAGCAAGCCAAAGTGTCTGCCAAATGAAGCTTTCTGTTTATACAGAGGTAAAAATTGGTAAGCTGCCCATCTATTTCAGTTCTAGGAACACCATCATTAACTAACTGATACCAGTGTCCTAGATCAAATGCTTTGGATTACTAATGTGGTCCCCCTATTCATTATACTAGCCACATCCACCTTCTAACTGGTGATAAAATGGAATTCTGGGCCTCATAACAATGCAAGGATCCCATCACTACAACTTTGGTAACCAATTCAGAGATCAGAATCTCTACAAAATATATGTGTACATATGGTAAATATGTATGCATGTATGTGTACACACACATCTACTAACATGCACACATAGTCTCCATTAGTACATATGTGCACATATATTCACAAGCATATTAATATGTGTATGTGTAAAAGTATATAATATGAAGGGATGTGTGATAGGAATTTGATGTCATGCAGAACTCAGACACATGGGTGAGCCGCAGATAAGCCACAGGGACAGTCAGCTACAAAAGGGATCTTGTTTGCCTTTCAGTTTGCAGGGAAGCTCACAAATGGACTCCTCTTGTGATTCATCTTTCCTGCCAACATTAGCAATGAGATTTCTAACACATCACTCCTTCCCTGTAAATGTTTAACTTATGAGAGAATATCACCTTGGAACTCAACTAATTTTGAATCAGAAACACCTAAGGTCCTCACTGACCCTGCATCTTCAAACATCCAGGTTCTTCTCCACAGGGGCTGACTCCAAACACACTCTTAAGTTCTTGTTCCTTCTTCCCATCCTGACAGCAGATCCAAGGTCACCTCTGCAAAGAGGCCTCCTCCCGCCTCTCACCACACAGCACCTGCTTGTCATCTTGTCTGATCTCAGTTCATTATCTACACACCACACAACACTGTACATTTTCCCCATCACTATATTTATTCGTTGTGTGTGTGTGTGTGTGTGTGTTAATTATTATCCTAATTGGTCAAGAATTTGCTAATGCAAGCACTCTCCACAATAGCTAAAACATGGAAAGAGCCTAAGTGTCCATCAACAGATGAATGGATCAAGAAGATGTGGTTTATCTATACCATGGAATACTACATGGCAATGAGAAACAATGAAATCTGGCCATGTGTAGCTACATGGATGGACCTTGAGGGTGTTATGCTGAGCGAAATAAGTCAGGCAGAGAAGGACAAATATCATATGTGTGCACGTATAGGAGGACTAGGAGGAACTTAACAGAGGACCAATCGGAAGAAGAAGGGGGGAAATGGTGGGGGAAAGGGAGAGAGGCAAACCATGAGAGACTCTTGAATGCTGACAAAAACTGAGGACTGATGGATGTGGGGGGGAGGGGAGGATGGGCATGGAGGAGGGCACTTGTGGGGATGAGCACTGGGTGTTATGTGGAAACTAATTTGACAATAAACTATTTGTAAAAAAAAAAAAAAAAAAAAAGAATTTGCTAATGCAATACAAGCACATCTCAGTCAGAGGCGTGAACATCAGGCATTTATTTTTCTCCCACAGAACAAGTCTGAAGTCAGATGGCATTTCTCCATGTACTCACCAATTCCGTGAGGTCCCGAATCTCATTTTATGTCCCATCATCACTACTATGGAGGCTTTGCCTTTCATTGTTGTTGATGACAGATCTTGGCATGGCTGCCGGAGTTCCAGCTCTCACAACAAAGTACAAGGAAAGAGCACTGCATAACCCACTCTATTTCTTCCATCACAAGATCCAAGATCCCCAAAACAATCTCCAACCAAATGGTACATACATGAGCCAGCTCTGGGACACAGGGCCAATCCTGAATGAGAGGGACCTGAGAATAGCAATAGTGTGGCTTCTAAGTGAATATAGAAGACAAGATACAGGTAGAAGGGATTGGAGACTGTCTGCTGTATCACCAAAGCAACTGTATACACTCTGCTGTGTCACTAAGGCAGGAAACTGAGAAGGACATGTGTCTTATTCACACTAATTTCCCAGGATGGAATGTATGCCAGACCATGTGGATCTGAATAAATGTTTGCTGGGTGAATGTTCTCCTGTCTCTGTCTTTGGAGCAGTAGCCATCATTACACCATTTGGTGCACCTGCAACCAGTGCTAGTAAGAGTCCCTGAGTCCTCTGTCACCTTGTGGCAAGTGCCACAACTATACAGATGACTTCCCACCACCCCAGAGATGTGAGCAGTAATACCTCAAATGGACCCTGCCTTTTCCTTACATGATCCTCTTCCTATTTCCATGGATAAACTGATCTCCACCTGCTTGGTCTTGAGGCTGACAGGGGCCCCAAAGGTAAGAGAAATTGCTCCCCTGAGAACAGCAGTCCATGGATCAGGGGATCAGGATATGAGCAGTGGGTTCTGCATCTCCGCCTGGACAAAGGACTTCCTTCTCCTCCCGTGGCCTGTGTGGTGTTGCCACCAGAAGGCAGCAGAGATCAACCGGCAAAGCCACCTGCACATGGGGAAGGTTTGGACATCAGGGGTTCTAACTGCGACGGAGGGTGAGTCGCCTGACCTGAGACCTGAAGGGAAAGGTATAGGCTTCTCCAGTATCATCTTTGACACTGATGTTAAATTCTGACTCGGGGTCTCACATCTGTGTCCTGTAGAATGTGCTTCTGTCTCTGGCACCAGTTCAGTACTTCCTGCCTCTCCAGGCCATCCCATACCTGCTAAACTCAGTCATTGTCAAACCTTGCTCAGGATGGGTCTTCCCCTGGCAATGAGTGCACCCTGGAGATACTGAGGAACAGCTTCTATGACCTTCTCCCAGGACAGACACCAGAACTTCCCCCAGGACAGACACCTACAGCACCTCAATGGTTCCCCAAAACCAAAACCCATGGGCACTAGGTAAGGGAACAGTTTTGTTCAGGTTCTGAAGTTCCCCAACATAGACCTGGGGTAGGACACTGCACTGACCTAAGTTCCTCCAGTCACCTAGAGAGTAAACATTCTATAACGGGTTCAGAAAATGCAGACTCCACCTCCGAGCTCTGCCCCGACTACATGCTATCAAAAACCTGGCCAGGACAAGGATAGGGGTGGAGTGTGGACCCCAGACTACAGGATAAGAGGGTGAATCAGAATTCCCTGCGCTGAGAGTGGATGTGAATGGCTGCCCCTCCCATCTCTGTGTCTCTTGGGGCTGAGCCCATTTCTGAAACCACAAGTCTCCTCAGCAGCAGCCCCTGAGCTCTGGCTGATTTGCATGTATAACAAGTGCGTCCATCAAAGGAATAAGAGAAGCCTGGGAGGAAAAATGCCCAACCTTGGACCTCAGGATGCAGAATCAAGGGTCCTGCACCATGGCCTGGACTCCTCTTCTCCTCAGCCTCCTCGCTCACTGCACAGGTGCTGTGCCCAGGCTCACACCTACCCCAGCCCTGGGGTTCTAGGACAAGCCTGGCCCTGACTCTGAGCTCAGCAGGGGACTGTCAGTGGGGGGCAGGATACTTAAGACCTTGCTGTGGGATGAGGGGCTGCTGGGGTAATAGCCTCCCACTGTGCTCATTGATCTGTGTGAGCCCTGAAGGGCTGCACCTGTCCAGAAAAAGGAGGGTGGGTGGTTCTCATTTGTTCAAAGGCTCCATCCACCAGGCAGGCCCAGGGGCCCTAGGAGCTAAGATGATAAAAGGGTGGAAACTGGGGCCTAGAGAATCACTGGAGCTTAAGCCAGGCAGGTGGGAGTGTTCAGGGTTGACACCCCAGGCTGGAAACCCAACTCTCATCTTCTCTCTTGCAGGTTCTGTGGCCTCCTATGTGCTGAATCAGCCCCCATCAGTGTCCGTGAACCTGGGACAGACGGCCAGGATCACGTGTGGAGGAAACAACATTGGAGAGAAATATGCTTACTGGTACCAGCAGAAACCAGGCCAGGCCCCTGTGCTGATTATCTATGAGGATAGCAAACGGCCTTCAGGGATCCCTGACCGATTCTCAGGTACCAGCTCAGGGAACTCTGCCACCCTGACCATCAGCAGGACCTTGACCGAGGACGAGGCTGACTATTACTGTCAGGTGTGGGACAGCAATAGTAATGCTCACTGTGAGACAGGCAGATGGGGAAGTGAGACACAAACATATTCCCCATGTCTGTCATGCTCTCTTCCTGCCCCCTGAGGCCTGTGCACAAATCAATGAGCAGATCTGGCTCAGGTCCCCAGATCTGAGTTCCCCCCCACTTTCCTCCCCACCCAGTCTCCAGGAAGCTCTGCACAGTGAGGTTCAGGAGTGCATTTACAACTGAAAGCAGTATGCTGCCCTGCTTCTCTGGGCCTGGGTGTGAACTGGGGACAGAGGGTCTGGATGGAAAAAAGACAGAGGGAGATGTTCATCCAGTGCCATTGTCTCTGCACTTCCATGTGCTGGTTGTGGGCTACTGCTCTCACAACTGACAAGGATTAGAGCCCAAAATGTCCCAGCTCACCTGAGGTCCTGAAGCCCTGGTGTCATTCATGGAGCCACCTCCACATGGGTGCAGTGGATGGATACAGTAGGCAATGTGGGGTCACCCACACCCCCTCATCTGGGTTCACACCCACCCACTCTGATAGCTCACAAGGGTGTTCCTCACTGCCAATGGCTCTTGGTTGAGAAAACTGTCTCCCCAGTTTTATGTCCCTTCTCAGAGAGCTTCAGTTGAATGATCTCCTGAGGCCTAGGTGCCAAGGTCCTGCCTCACTTTCACATGTCCTGAAAGATCCCAACTTTAAAGCTCCCTGCAAGAATGAGGCCTTATCTGATGTCTCACTCTGTGTGGGTCGCTTCCCCTTCTGCCCATTCTGACCTCCCTCCTCCTTCCAGGTTTCCTGCACATGCACTTCTCCATCACAGAGTCTTCTTCCAGGAACCTAGTCCAAGATGACCAGGAACTCCCACAGTCTGCAGGGACATGAGGGGGTCACTGTATACCCACAAAGCTGGCTTTTCTCCCCCAAACTCCAAATGTGCATGTCCAATGATCAGATTGATTGGATCATTTCTTGTATTTTTATACAAAGATCCAGACACACTGGGTGCTCTGGGTTCTGACAAACAGTTGGAGAGTCACATCCATCCTGAAGGTGAATGGGGGACATTGGGGCAGTTGCCTTCTCCTACAAAGTGACCTAAAGATACATAACCATGAGTGAGACACAAAATGGGTGCAGTGTCACTTCTACCCTCCCAGATTTTGCACTGAATCTCTCCTCATATCCACCTACCCAGAAATATAGAGAGAAAACAATTTTGTGAAATACAGTCAGTCTGTCATCCACATGAAATCCACCCAGATCCACACAAACCACAGTCTGGATATAAGGCCAATATCCGTAACCGTGCTGCTACCTGATATGGTGAAACTATCCCATGACAACCACAAATATGTTCACCTATCTCCCAAAGGAGGATCCAAAATACATTTGTGTCTGATAGGGATGTATATTTTTGTCCCAGGTGATTTGGTATCCAAAACTTCAGTATTGAGATAGAAAGTTACCTACCCTTAACACATCTGATCTTAGATGATAATGGGATGAGACAGGAAAACAAGACAGAAACATATGATTACTATGTATCCAAAAGCATCAATACAACATAACACTATTCTATCTTACTCATTCTTTTTTTTTTTTTTTACAAATAGTTTATTGTCAAATTAGTTTCCACATAACACCCAGTGCTCATCCCCACAAGTGCCCTCCTCCATGCCCATCCCTCCCTCCCCCCCACATCCATCAGTCCTCAGTTTTTGTCAGCATTCAAGAGTCTCTCATGGTTTGCCTCTCTCCCTTTCCCCCACCATTTCCCCCCTTCTTCTCCCGATTGGTCCTCTGTTAAGTTCCTCCTAGTCCTCCTATACGTGCACACATATGATATTTGTCCTTCTCTGCCTGACTTATTTCGCTCAGCATAACACCCTCAAGGTCCATCCATGTAGCTACACATGGCCAGATTTCATTGTTTCTCATTGCCATGTAGTATTCCATGGTATAGATAAACCACATCTTCTTGATCCATTCATCTGTTGATGGACACTTAGGCTCTTTCCATGTTTTAGCTATTGTGGAGAGTGCTGCTATGAACATTGGGGTACATGTGCTCCTATGCCTCAGCATTTCTGTATCCCTTGGGTAAATTCCTAGCAGTGCTATTGCTGGGTCATAGGGGAGTTCTATTGTTAGTTTCCTGAGGAACCTCCACACTGTTTTCCAGAGGGGCTGTACCAGTTTACATTCCCACCAACAGTGTAGGAGGGTGCCCGTTTCTCCACATCCTCGCCAGCATCTAGAGTTCTCTGATTTGCTCATTTTAGCCACTCTGACTGGCGTGAGGTGGTATCTCAGTGTGGTTTTGATTTGTATTTCCCTGATGAGGAGGGATGCTGAGCATCGTTTCATGTGTCTGTTGGCCATCTGGATGTCCTCTTTGGAGAAGTGTCTGTTCATGTCTTCTGCCCATTTCTTCACTGGGTTGTTTGTTTTTCGGGCGTGTAGTTTGGTGAGTTCCTTATAGATTCTGGATATTAACCCTTTATCTGATATGTCATTTGCAACTATCTTTTCCCATTCCGTTGGTTGCCTATTAATTTTCTGGGTTGTTTCCTTGGCTGTGCAGAAGCTTTTAATCTTGATGAGGTCCCAACAGTTTATTTTTGCTCTTGATTCCCTTGCTTTTGGGGATGTGTCAAGTAAGAAGTTGCTGCGGTGGAGGTCAAGGAGGTTGTTTCCTGCTTTCTCCTCTAGGGTGTTGATAGTTTCCTGTCTCACGTTCAGGTCCTTTATCCATTTTGAGTTGATTTTTGTGCATGGTGTGAGAAAATGATCTAGTTTCATTCTTCTGCATGTTGCTGTCCAGTTCTCCCAACACCATCTGTTAAAAAGGCTGTCTTTTTTCCATTGGATATTCTTTCCTGCTTTGTCAAAGATCAGTTGGCTGTATACTTTTGGGTCCACTTCTGAGTTCTCAATTCTGTTCCATTGGTCTATGTGTCTGTTTTTGTGCCAATACCATACTGTCTTGAGGATGACAGCTTTGTAGTAGAGGCTGAAGTCTGGGATGGTGATACCTCCCGTTTTGGTTTTATTTTTCAGTATTACTTTGGCTATTCGGGGTCTTTTGTGGTTCCATACAAATTTTTGGATAGTTTGTTCTAGTTTTGAGAAGTATGCTGGTGCAATTTTGATTGGAATTGCATTGAATGTGTAGAGTGCTTTAGGTAGTAATGACATCTTAACTATATTTATTCTTCCTATCCATGAGCATGGAATGTTTTTCCATTTCTTTGTGTCTTCTTCAATTTCCTTCATAAGTTTTCTATAGTTTTCATCATACAGATCTCTTGTATCCTTGGTTAGGTTTATTCCGAGGTATTTTATGGTTTTTTGTGCAATTGTGAATGGGATCAGTTTCTTGATTTCTCTTTCTGTTGCTTCATTATTGGTGTATAAAAATGCAACCGATTTCTGTACGTTGATTTTGTACCCTGCAACTTGGCTGAATTCTTGGATCAGTTCTAGTAGGCTTCTGGTGGAGTCTGTCGGGTTTTCTATGTAGAGTATCATGTCATCTGCGAAGAGTGAAAGTTTGACTTCCTCTTTGCCAATTCTGATGCCTTTGATTTCCTTTTGTTGTCTGATGGCTGATGCTAGGACTTCCAGCACTATGTTAAACAACAGTGGTGAGAGTGGACATCCCTGTCGTGTTCCTGATCTCAGGGGGAAAGCTCTCAGTTTTTCCCCGTTGAGGATGATGTTAGCTGAAGGCTTCTCATAGATGGCTTTGATGATGTTTAAGTAGGTTCCTTCTATCCCAACTTTCTCGAGAGTCTTTATTAAGAAGGGATGCTGTATTTTGTCAAATGCTTTTTCTGCATCTATTGACAGGATCATATGGTTTTTATCTTTTCTTTTATTGATATGATGGATCACATTGATTGATTTGCGAATGTTGAACCAGCCCTGTAACCCAGGAATGAATCCCACTTGATCTTGGTGGATGATTCTTTTGATATGCTGCTGGATTCGATTTGCAAGGATCTTGTTGAGAATTTTTGCATCCGTATTCATCAAGGATATTGGCCTATAGTTCTCTTTTTTTGTTGGATCTCTGTCTGGCTTGGGAATCAGAGTGATGCTGGCTTCATAAAATGAGTCCGGGAGTTTTCCTTCGACTTCTATTTTTTGGAATAGCTTGAGAAGAATTGGGATTAATTCTGTTTTAAATGTCTGGTAGAATTCCCCAGGGAAACCATCAGGTCCAGGGCTCTTATTTGTTGGGAGATTTTTGATCACTGATTCGATTTCTTCACTCGTTATGGGTCTGTTCAGGTTTTCTATTTCTTCCCGTGTGAATTTTGGTAGTGAGTGTGTGTTTAGGAATTTGTCCATTTCTTCTAAGTTGTCCAATTTGTTGGCATATAATTTTTCATAGTATTCCCTGATAATTGCTTGTATTTCTGAGGGGTTGGTTGTAATAAGTCCATTTTCATTCATAATTTTGTCTATTTGGGTGCTCTCTCTTTTCTTTTTGATAAGCCTGGCTAGAGGTTTGTCAATTTTGTTTACTTTTTCAAAAAACCAACTCTTGGTTTCATTGATCTGTTCAATTGTTTCTTTGGTCTCTATGTTGTTTATTTCTGCTCTAATTTTTACTATTTCTCTTCTTCTACTGGGTTTAGGGCGTTCTTGTTGCTCTGCCTCTAGCTCCTTTAGGTGAGCTGTTAGATTTTGGACTTGTGCTTTTTCTAATCTCTTGAAATAGGCCTGGAGAGCAATGTACTTTCCTCTTAGGACTGCCTTGGCCGCATCCCATAGATTTTGAATTGTTGTGTTTTCATTTTCATTTGTTTCCATATATTTTTTAATTTCCTCTCTAATTGCCTGATTGGCCCATTCATTCTTTAGAAGGGTGTTCTTTAACCTCCATGTTTTTGGCGGTTTTCCAGACTTCTTCCTGTAATTGATTTCAAGTTTCAAAGCATTGTGATCTGACAGTGTGCATGGTATGATCTCTATTCTTTTATATTTATTGAGGGCTGCTTTATGTCCCAGTATGTGATCTATCTTGGAGAATGTGCCATGCGCACTTGAGAAGAAAGTAAATTCCCTGGCCTCAGGATGTAAAGTTCTAAATATATCCGTCAGATCCATCTGGTCCAATGTGTCTTTCAAGTCCATTATTTCTTTAGTGATTTTCTGTCTGGTTGACCTATCCATTGCTGTAAGCGGAGTATTAAAGTCCCCTGCTATTAGCACATTCTTATCTATAAGCTTGTTTCTGTTTGTGATTAATTGTTTTAGATATTTAGGTGCTCCCATATTCGGTGCGTAGACATTTATGATTGTTAGTTCTTCCTGATGGATGGACCCTGTAATTATTATGTAGTGCCCTTCTTCATCTCTTGTGATTGTCTTTAATTTAAAGTCCAGTTTGTCTGATATAAGTATCGCTACTCCGGCTTTCTTTTGATTTCCTGTAGCATGATATATATTTCTCCATCCCCTTACTTTTAATCTGAAGGTATCTTCCCGTCTAAAATGAGTTTCTTGTAGACAGCATATTGATGGATTTTGTTTTTTAATCCATTCTGCTACCCTATGTCTTTTGATTGGAGCATTCAGCCCATTTACATTCAGTGTTATTATTGAAATATGTGGGTTTAGAGTCTTTGTATCTTTTGTAGGGTTCATGTTTGTGGTGGTGTCTCTGGTATCTTTGTTCCTTGCAACCTTTCCTTCAGAGCATCCCCCTCAGGATTTCTTGTAGGGCTGGCTTCGTGGTGACAAATTCTTTCAATTTCTGTTTATTTGGAAAGGTTTTTATCTCTCCTTCTATTTTGAATGACAGGCTTGCTGGATAGAGGATTCTTGGCTGCATATTTTTACTGTTCATCACATTGAAGATTTCCTGCCAT